TCTGCCTCCACATAGTGATGTCGACGACGGAGCTGCCCAGATAGTTAAAACATGCCTTCATGCGGTCATAATCCGGAAAACCCGTGTAGAAATTAATAGCACGGTCGTCATTTTTGAATTTATCAATACCGAATTCTTTTTCTCTCAACCACGCCACCTCGCGTTTCTGATCATTATTATCTTTTGTCAGTATCTCTAGCTCTCGCTCGTGTTTCTCGGTGAGTACCTGGATTTGTCTTCCTAATTTCTCCGTCTCCAATCTGTGTCGTTCTACCAACACGTCATATTCGCCGCGTAATTCTTGTGTTTCTCGTTGACTTTTCGCTAGGGACGCTTTTAGAGCACAGATTTCGAGCCTCAAGGATTCACCTGAGTTGAATTCGGGCTCCGCGGCGACTCGAATTGTACTTGTAGACGCTTTACATTTCTGTTCAGGCTCTTGAGGTTCTTGCGTGTTTTCAGAGTATGTCGGTAAACTATAATTATGGTCACTTTGCAGGACTGACGACTTGCCATCTTCGTGAAGACCATTCCACGGGAAGATTGTTGGTATCTGACTGCCGTATTGTTTCTCACCCCCGACGAAGTGGGCGCTGCAAATACGCGTATGTTCGGAATCAAAGCGCACTTTGTCGCCTTTGATGACTTCAGCGTACTTATTTCGCAAGTCCTGTTTCTTGGGTATCCGATAAAAATGCAGGCCACGATTTTTCATCGAGTTATTGTAACAGAGCGGAACACAACAATGTCTCATTTTGACTCTACAAAATGGCGGACTATACCCCCAGAAAATGATCCAAGATACACGCCCTCAACGATATTTACACGACTCATCTATCCTTTCGTTTTTTTCCTTTAAAAATTACAAATGTTTTATGTGATTTTTGCAAATGATAGGACAGTTATTCAGCGATACATAGTATCTGTATTCGTTTATATTTGTAAGTTGTTTCTCAGAGTAGTTATACCAGTTGTATTTGTGTCAGAACAAATATTGGTAGTTATTAAAGTAGAAGTTATTGATATTGTTATTGAGGAAGGTCCAAATTGAGGTCAATAATCCCTCAGAGAATCATAAACTGAATATTGACCTACATTGGGGTAACTATATGTTTTATCAATGTTTCATTAAATGAACATTCATTTGTTTTGTGCGTTTTTTTTTCTGAACACGGGCAATAAAATAAACAAGGATTTTTGTTAGTGAACCTGAGTAATTCATCACCATCATGTTCTGACCAGTCAAGCATGACTACAGATACCTTGAATACAAGGTATACTCAATATTAATATATTATAATATTTATACTATGGCTGTACTCAGATCAGTGGCAAACATACCATACTGTAAAATACTTGATTTTAGCTGGAATTTATTTTCGCTGAAAAGACGTTTTGGGAGTTTTTTGTATGGAATTTATTTTTACTGATTTTTGATGAGTTGAATGTCAAATCTGCGCATTGGCCCAGAGCATCTATGTTTCATCAAAAACCGATGTATGGTTCTTGAGATATCAGTGGAACAGATGGACGGACACACACACACTTGCATACATATACACACACACAGACAGACAGACAGACACACGAACAAAGACTCCCATTGTGTGCTTCACATACAGGAGTCAAAACCATGAACGCACACAATTGTCATGCACAAATTTATTTTCATTTTTGAAAGTCTTCACATGATTATTCAAGATTAACATATGGCATCTTAAAAAATATATTATTAAGACACATAGAATACAACTACATGTACTCTAAATTGGAAAGATTATAAAAGTGACATTATAATAATCACACACAAAAATAAAACAAAACAACATTGCAATGTATAGACTTGGAACTGAATATAGAATCAGTTATTTTTTTTTTTGCAATTATGAAATTTATAAGTGAAGATATTATAAAGATGTATAATCCTAAATTACATGTAATTATCGCTTTCACCATTGAAAAACAATAAATGCAAACAAAATGGCAACGTGAATAATTTGGAAAATTATTAGTGCCAGAATTATATTAACATCATGAACATTTTTTTTCAAATGTATAAAGAAAATCAACAATTAAACAATATCAATATTTTACAAATTAAAAAAATTATAAAAAAATATATTGCACCAGTCAAAAAAAAAAAAAGAAACCAACCACTGCATACATAAGATAGAAGTGCACAAGACCAACACTTGATTCCTTGCACATGACTGTGCAATGGTTGAATCTCACTATTCCCCTCTTAATATGGCATCATGTAGTTACTTTCAATAGTCTTTGTAGTTATTGATCCAAAATGAAATTATTTTCGCACTTGATCTAATGACCTTAAAAGTGAATCAACATTGATATGTCAAAGAGAGAGAGAGAGAGAGATGCAAGACTTATCTGTCCCTCAAAATAAAGTACCATTCTCCTCTGTTATGTCCACTGTTCCTGTGGTCTATGTATTAAACCAAGGTAATTGGAACACTACAACATGAGTGATTTATGTCTCTCGCTCACTAGATTTTGGAAGCCATTTGCCATAGTGGTCATGTATCATGTGTGTTATATAATAAATACTGCAAATTTCAATGCAAGTGAATCTATTTTTCAAATAAAGGCTAAATATTGTCTTAGGCACTCCTACAATGTATTTCTCTAATAGAAGAAAAATCTGGATTGAATAACCAGACCAAACATGTAGTAAATATACAAAAAACTCAAAGTTTACCAAAATGTCTGGAATACCATATAATGTGTATATGATTTAAATATTAAATGAGGTTATTACAAGAATACTAGTATGGTGATTATATCAACTACCACGTAGCAGCTAGAGCTCGTTGTGTTACCGTACTGTCTTTGTGCATACTTTACGGTATTCTTGTGATAAGCATATTATTATACATCTTTTCTCTTATTATAACGAGAGATAACGGCCTTATAATGGCAACAAAGAACAATTTGCGCTGTGCGAACGTTTGCGATCAGTGATGAGAATCTTTTTCCATCATGCACTTATAGCGCCTCTGCAGTAAATAAAAAAAAAGTGTAAAATGTTTGAATGTGACTTAAACATGACAACCAATTTCTTCCAAATACATTCAAATGATCAGTAACACATTCAAACACCTCTGTACGGGATGGGAAAATTCTATTGTCTTTGATCTCCAATGTATAATAATCCTATTTATACATGTCAACAATGGCAAACAAAAATGCAAATTAAGGTGCGCACAGGCACTGACATGTACATGGTACATACTATCTAAAATGTTTTTTTTGCAAGCATAATATTAACTTCAAATTACAATATAGCTTTCCATGATTAATATATGTTTTGGCTTTGCCAAGTACAGGTATTTTGTGTACTAGTATATAAAATTCAAACTCATTATACCAGTACTATACAACTATATATGCATACATAAACATGTATGTAAACTGCCAGTCAGCCATCTTGAATTGGATTGCGACACAGATCAGCTTTTGTTGATGTGATTGAACACAATTGTCTGTGTACCATATTTGAGCTTTACTGATGTGAATTTGTAATTTGATTAGATTTAATTGTGCAACAACAAAAATTTACAAGTTTGAATAAATTTTATTAAACTTTGATTTGATTTTATGAGCAAAAATTACCAAAACTAAGCATCTTTGAAAAACAATAGTTGTGCTTCAAAAAGACAACAGGTGTTACCAATATTCCAAGTTTTAACAGAATCTGTCAGTGCAACTCAGATGTTTTTGAAAATATGGCTGCTAATCGACCATTCTGAATATGTGGTAGAAGAAAATAATCATGTGAAAAAAATGAACTTCGAGAAATGTGACAAATAGAATGGACGGAACACAAGTTATAAGTTCCCCTGAAATGAGTTGATATCAGTACTTTTAGGTGTATTTGTAAATTGTAACTGTTGCCTTACTATTGTGCTTGTTTTGCCTCTATGCAAAATGGACAGTATGTCGATGTATAAGTAGAAATAGCGATAGCATAATAATTATTAATTTTTCTTCATTTCTTCAATATAGTAAATAGAAAATCAATAATTTAATTGGCATAAAGAAGGGACAATAGCTGTAACTATGGTATCAATCTTTTTTCTCTGATTTTATATTTTTAATAAAACATTTCCTGTGACATTAATACCAATTTGTAACAGAAATTGCCGAAATGAAAGCTTTGCATATATGCTCTATACCAATGTTGTACATTAAATCACTTGCAAGTGACTGATTTTAACAAAATGGCGGCTACTCGACCCTTAGCTTTCACATCATATGTGACATTTGCAGCCTTGTATAGAGTCACTTTGCTCATGCAAGTGTATGCAAAAAAAATATTTCGGTAATATTTGGCCGTCTTTATGTGATTATATTATACAAAAAAAATTTCAGAATCATAGCTATTGTCGCTTTCGGGTGATAGTAGTTGATGTGTATTGATTCGCGATTACTGAATCTAGCAAAATAATCTTCAAATTGTACATGTATAATATAAATGTCCGAATATATATTCAAACTTTAGTTCATAAAACCATATTCATTTTATATGTAAATGACATCAGTATATATACATTTGGTGAAAGAAAAAAAAAGCTGTTCTAATTTTTGAAGAAACTAAACTTCACTGTCTTTCAATACATTGTTTTTGCTAATATTATAATTGCAGAGATTGTACAAATTTAAAACATTTCATTCAAAAGTTTTGAAAATTGTTAGATTAATTTTTCGTGAGAATTAACAATCAAATTATTGTTTTACAATTACTGACATGGAAAAAAGTCAAAACAAAATCTAGTAATTAACAATTAATTTGCCTTAACAATGTTTGAAATATACACTATTAATAAAGTTAATAATAATAATAAGTCAACATAAGTACCGTACATTTCTAAGCAGGCAACAACAATATATACAGAAGCATTTAAAATGATGGATTTGAGATGCTATATTACTTTTTTTATAATTATAATAACCACTTATACTTTCTATATACCAATATATAGTAAATCAACACTGTGAAAGGTTTACTATAATACATCATCACTGTGAGATTGTGTTTAGTTTGCTTATCAGTTCTTCTTGTACACAGGCCACTGAAACAAATTCAAATAAAAAAAAAGTTAAAATAATCTTGTTTTATCATTCATGGTGAGTTTTATCTTCAGTGAACTGACCCCTCAGTGCTCAACAACTGGATTTACATGTTAAAGACACGACATCAGTGCCATGGTCCACTAATGTCTAGAATTGTTGTTATAGGAGGGATTTGCAAGTCTGAAATCAACAAAGATGCTAAGATCATTCATATTAGGGATTATAAACAATGCTAATTACACTTAAGGAAAACAAGAATGAAATTTAGTACTAAACCCAGAGTGACAGCAAAGTTGCAGTGTAAGTGTTATTATCCTTTGCTACAACAGATTCTTTTAGTTGTCTCCTAATAGAAAATGTTTTATAAAACTTTTCAAGATAGTTACACTGCCCATATATACAGTTCAACGTCAACAAGAAAAATTGAGAACTCTATGCGGTTCTCACTAGAAGGTAATCTACAAGCATATATATTTGAGAGAATTACCTAAAATACTCATTATATAGAGCAGTTGGGTGTTCAAAAAAATGTTTGTTCTATGATACTATGATCTTGATTATTTTTAAAAAAACACTAAACAACTTTTTTTATATCACTCATTTATTAAATAATTGTTAAATGAGCAACTGTTATGATAAATTAGTTATTGCTAATGACCTAGTTCCTATTGCAATTGGGAGAAATTTTATTTTATTTTATTCATGCCCAAGAACCCTTTTAGGGTTCTGGAATATGAGCCAAAATGGATGGTGACCAAACTTTGTTCGAACAGGGACTTAAAAAGCAGAATATGGTGAATTTCCCTGTGTTATGTTGACCGTGGTACAAATCCTTTAAAAAAATCACTCTTTAATAAATTACATTATAGGAGAAGACTGTACATGTCATGCGTTTTTTAGTTGGGGTTTAGAAAAATTTGTTTTTTGAATGCTAATATTTAAAGGTTTCAAAACATATAATAAAAATTTGATTATGTAAAACTATGTAAAAATTTTTTTAACCAAAAAAGAAATGTCACATTATCTTTACAATATTAATTAAGAATTCTATTCTATACACACTGATAATTTGATTTCATAAAAGACAAAAAACAATAAATATGCCAAAAGGAGTTTTTAAAAAAGCCAGTAATTAACAATTAAACTAATGAAATATATTGTAATGACTTGTCACTCACTCGGATTTCTTGGCTGCCTTGGTTGTACTGCTGGTTTGGGAGGTGATGCTGAAGAAAGAAAAAAAAAAATAATTGATTTTAGTGAATTATAGATAAGAATTTAAAGATATCACTGTACATTTACTCTATTACAATTGTACCTTCTATAGAAACACATAAGAACCAAATATGTTAAACTGTGAATACTGTAGACGATTAAGAAAACACTTAAATAACAAATTTAAATGTCAGTCCCCCCCCCCCACGTTCATACACTAGACAGTGCAACATTACAGAATGCAATGGGTTGATGTAGTTTTAAGATTTGATTTGATATTATGATTATATTAGAACAATTTGATGGTAATTATGGAAAACATTGATATGAATAATGACATATTGGTAACAGTATTGAGTGGTTCACATTCACTGTTGCATATACATTGTACAATTACCAGTAATACACAACAAAACTGTCCCAATCACAGGTAGGATGCACCAATTAGGCACATCAGAAAAATGGTTGATGATTTGTTGAAACAAATGTGCATATGTAGTTACCATTGTGTCATAATTAATCTGTGTCTGTACCTATATGAATCAGTGAAAGCATGTCCAAGTATTTAAAGTAAAAAATAAGCTAATGAGCACTGGTTATCTATTATTTGTACACCAAATTTCAATAAAATCTAAAAATTTTATTTTTTTTGGGACAAAAATAGCTGTCAGTTTGTTAAATTTTATCGAAATCTAAAAATATTGCGTTTGTACAAAATTTAAACAAAATCAAAATGGCCACAAGTCAGCCATTTCAAATCAAATTGCAAAATCAAAGAAAGCTTAGAAAAAACTCCCGTGTGCTGAGAGTATTGAAGACACATTAAAAATTAATTAAAAATTACTCTTACATGAGATATTGATGGAAAAGCTGAAAACTAATTATGTAAATCAAGTAACTAATATGAACAGAACAGAACAAAAAAATTATGAATTATTATGCTAATTAGAGAATTATTATTAATCCAAATTAATCAGGCCTGTCTATTGTCCTAGAGCATTTATGTACCAAATTTTATTCAAATGTGATGATCAGTGTTAATTAATTATGTTAATTAGGTGATTAATAAGCATAAATATTTACCAACAAGTCATTGTCAATGACACGTCCCCGTTCCGTTCATATTTGAGTGACATATACATTCAAAGCAGATCATGACCGAAATGCACCTGCATATGTACAACACATTGTGCTAAATCTGAACAAAATCCATCCATGCATGACTGAGATCCGGTTCTGGAATTGTGAAAATACGTGATTTTGATGCATTTTCGGCCTTAAAATGGCCATCATTTCGCTATTGTTAAGCAGATCATGAAACAAAGGCACATATCTATTTGTGACATGATGTACCATGTGTGTGTGAAGTTTGAACTTGATCAATCCAGACATGTCTTGGATACGGATCCAGAACTGAATTCTTTAACAAAATGGCCGCCAGTCGGCCATTTCGAACTTGATCCGAAAAAAAAAAGATGTGCATCAAGGTCCTATTATGTTTAATGTATGTACCAAATTTGAACAAAATCCATCCATGCATAACTGAGATACGGGTCCGGAATGGTGAAAATGTGCGATTTCAATGCATTTTCGGCCTTAAAGCGGCCGCCATTTGGCTATCGTTAATGAGATCATGATACAAATGCACATACATATTTGTGACATGATGTACCTTGTGTGTGTGAAGTTTGAACTCGATCAATCCAAGCATGTCTCGGATACGGATCCAGAACTGAATTCTTTAAAACAAAATGGCCGCCAGTCGGCTA